ACTGGGGCACGATCCCGTGTCCCCTGCATCGGCAGGCGGACTCTCAACCACTGCGCCACCAGGGAAGCCCAGCACTGGACTTTTTAATCACCCAAGAATGATCAGTAAAACTCTGAGGCCAGACAAGGATTTAATTTAGAGGATAAGAAAAATATGTTCCCAGGAAAAGTGGTGGGAAAGAAGAATTTGCTTGTTCCCTAGAAAGTTCAGCTTTTTCAATAAAACAAAAACAAAGAAGAGATCCTGAGAAGAAGATGAATCCAGTTTAGATTCATGCTGAATTTGAGGACACTGGGGAAACCTTGAGCAGATATCCAGGAGGCTTTAGAAATTTCAGGTTTGAAGATTCAGAGTAATGATATGAGAGATAGACATTTGAAAGTTAAAAGCATTTTAATCTCACTGAAGTTAAGAATGTCAATAAAATCTTTCGAGCAGAGATATAGACTGTTCAACCTCCCAAGGGCAGACAACTTAACCATTGATCCTACTGCGGCACCTACTGTGCTAGAAAGTTTAAATATGTTATCTCATCTGTACCTCAAAACAACTCTACAAAGTAGATCTTTTATCTATTTTTTTAATTAAAGTATAGTTGATTTACAATATTGTTCCAATCTCTGCTGTACAGCAAAGTGACTCAATTTTATACATATATACATTCTCTTTTTAACATTCTTTTCCATTATGGTTTACCCCAGAAGACTGGATATAGTTCCCTGTGCTCTACAGTAGGACCTTGTTGTTTATCCATTCGAAATGTAACAATTTGCATCTACCAACCCCAAATTCCAAGTCAATCCCTCTCCATCCTCCCCTCCTCCTTGGCAACACAAGTCTATTCTCTATGGCTGTGAGTCTGTTTCTGTTTTGTACACAGGTTCGTTTGTGCCATATTTTAGATTCCACATATAAGTGATATCATATGGTATTTGTCTTTCTCTTTCTGACTGACTTCACTTAGTGTGATAATCTCTAGGTCCATCCATGTTGCTGCAAATGGCATTATTTTGTTCTTTCTTACGGCTGAGTAATAGTCCTTTGTATATATGTGCCACATCTTCTTTATCCATTCATCTATCAATGGACATTTAGGTTGTTTCCATGTCTTGGCTACTGTGAATAGTGCTGCTATGAACATAGGGGTGCATGTATCTTTTGAATTTAGTTTTGTCCAGGTATATGCCTAGGAGTGGGATTGCTGGATCATATGATAATTCTATTTTTAGTTTTCTGAGGAACCTCCATACTGTTCTCCACAGTGGCTGTACCAACTTACATTCCCACCAACAGTGTAGGAGGCTTCCCTTTTCTCCACACTTGCTACAAAGTAGATCTTACACGCACTTTGCCAACAAGGAAACTAAGGCTCAGGTGGAGAAGTAACTCACTAAAGATCCCATGATTAAGAAAATGCTAGAGCCATATTTGATCCTAGGTCACCTGATTCAAAAGCCGTTAATCATTAATTATTGCATGAAATTTCATTGTCCTTTCCCAGTTTTCAATCAGTCAGCTCAATAAATTAATCTGAACCCTCTTATTTTAGACATTTTTTTGGAATCAGCATGGTGAAGAATGGGAGGCTAGGTTTTCACTTAATACTTTGTAAGTTAGAGATGACCTTTAAGAAAAGTTAAGGATGGGCTTCCCTGGTGGCGCAGTGGTTGAGAGTCTGCCTGCCGATGCACAGGACACAGGTTCGTGCCCCGGTCTGGGAAGATCCCACATGCCGTGGAGCGGCTGGGCCCGTGAGCCATGGCCGCTGAGCCTGCGCGTCCGGAGCCTGTGCTCCGCAACGGGAGAGGCCACAACAGTGAGAGGCCCGCGTACCGCAAAAAAATAAAAAAAGAAAGAAAAGTTAAGGAAGTACAAGTGAGATAAAGAGTGTTTTATCTCCCTCAGTTTTTCCAGATGAATCCTGGACTCCCCAACCACTGTTTTTCCCTTATCTTTTTACCATCTCCTATATTTCCCACGCTCACTTCAGCCTTGAACATTTTGGTACTTGAGATATTTCCCACTTGTGCTGCCAGATCGTTCCTTTCAACCTATCCAAATGCTTCTGGGCCTTTGAGGTTCAGTATAAACCCTACCTCCTCTGTGAAGTTGTCCTGGTCTACTCCAGGGCCCACTATTCTTTTCTACCTCTAAGCGTACACCAGAATATCTAACGATAAACTGGTCTTTCTTTCACTCCTCCAAAACAACCACTAAGTTGGTGTACTGCTCACTCCTAAGCATCCCAAAAAGAGTTAAAAGGGAGCTGACGTTCTGGCTTCTCTGCTGCTCTCCTACCCCTTGGCGTGAAGCCTCCCTCATTTCTAGACCAGCTTTCTCTGCAGTCACCTCTTCTCCGACTCCTACCCATTTCTGCCCTCCCTGAGGAATCCATGTTCCAAAGGTACCTATATCTTAACTTATCTTAATTTAAGATATCTTAATTTAACTTATCTTAACTTATCTTAATTTAACCCATTCCACACCCAGAGTGCATTTTTATCTAAATCAATCAACACTATAAACTGGGATGCATTGCTAGCTCTTTCTTAGTGCTCTTCCTTAACCATTAGAATCTCTAAAAGTTAAATATTCAAGCCAGTGAAGGAGGCAGCTAGGACTTATCACTATCCTTCCCTGACATAGGCCAGCTTTCAAAAGGAGAAATGTAGAGTCACCATTCCTTCTCCTTTGAGAGAGGAGCCTCCCCCTGCTTTGCTTCCTTTCCCAGGGCCACCCTCCCTCTCATCTACATCTGGTCTCTTTCCATTTCCTCTGGGAACTTGAGTTCCAGTCTGTTCTTCTCTTTGCCCTCCACGAAGAGGAAATAGCTGTCATAATATACCAGAGGACCGAATACATTTTTAAGGGACTTCAGGGCAGTCTCATGCTCCACCCACTTACTAATTCATTCAGCACATTTACATGGACACTCACGAATAATTGAAGATTCAAAGAGAGACAAGTAATCCCTGAGATGAAGGAGTTTATGATTGGGGTGTGGTGAGGGGAAATCAGACCTGTAATAGGTAAAATAAAGTGTTTTAAGTCAAGAGGCACCCAGCTCAGTCTGGAGGACATTAGATAAAGCTTCTTAGGGGAGGTGATGGCTAGTTAAACCAAAGGTCAGTGAGGATTTAGCTAGGGAAAATTACTGGGAAAGAGCAGAAATTACAGAAAGAGTTATGTGCAAATGCTCAGAAACTAAAGAATATGCCATATCCTGGAAGCTGAAGTGTGGTTCAACCCAGCTAGAGCACAGTGAGATGAGGGAGATCATGTGAAAAAAAAGAAGCAAGAGAAGTAAACAAGACTAGATCTATATGGGTTTAAAGTCCAATTTCCTGGGCTTCCCTGGTGGCGCAGTGCTTGAGAGTCCGCCTGCCGATGCAGGAGACGCGGGTTCGTGCCCCGTTTCAGGAAAATCCCACATGCCGCGGAGCGGCTGGGCCCGTGAGCCATGGCCACTGAGCCTGCGCGTCCGGAGCCTGTGCTCCGCAAATGGGAGAGGCCACAACAGTGAGAGGCCGCATAACGCAAGGAAAAAAAAAAAAAAAAAGTCCAATTTCCTCTTGCTAGAAATGCTTTGTTTGCTTGCCTGAGAGAGTAATTGGACTTAGAATCACTTATTAAAGTGCCTACTATTTAACTTAGTAAATCAAAACTCAATAATTATTAGAGCTATCAGTAAATATCTGTAATTAGATGTGTTAGGTTTTCTCGTTTATATAGGCTGGTTATTTCCAGAGTTTTAAAGAATTAAAGGAGGATTGATAACTGCCAGTTTTTGAGTGAGCCATTTAGAGAAATAGTACCTTCTTAATTTTATAATACAACCCCCAGGGGAAATATTATATGAGACAGCAAAGGTAATAGTAAATAGTAAAACAATTAAATGGTGAATACTGTAATAATACGAATATGGTAAAAATAGTTTTTAAAAATTAGATTGGTAATATTTAATTCAGCCTTTACACATGCTGCTATTTACTGAAAACTGGGGAAGAATGCTCTTTTATTTTGACAAAATGGCAAGTCTATATACTATGGGAAATTTTTGCTGAGGTCAAAATTGTAAATGGAAATAACTTCTTAGAAAACGATAGTAGTATTGATTTTGTCTTGATTAATGTGTCTATGAAGAATGTGCTTCCAAAATATAAAATCTTCGCTTGCTAGGTTAAGGGTAGGGAAGGATTATGTTCCTTCTACCAGGAAGAATTTAAGAGCTGAGGCTGTGTTTAATTTCCCGCAGGAACGAACAGTGAGAGCTTCATTTATTCTAAGAACGGTCTGCCCCGTGAGAACACTGGTCTGTTTTTAGACAACCTGCCAAGCCTCTTTTGACAACCCATCTACTTTACTTTGGTTTTTGTCTTATCTTTATCAAATTTGCGTGGAAAAACTACATTCAGCGGTGGCGATAGTAACGCAAAACCCCGGAATTGCCAAGCCGCCTCTGCGCTTTAGGAAACGTAGCCCCGGCCGATACGCGAAGAGACTAAGTATGAGCTCCCGGCTTCCCGTAGCTCGGAGAAGAGCGAAGAGACTAAGTGTGAGTTCCCGGGCACCCGTAGCTCGGATTCTCAGGGGCAGGCGCCGAAAAGGGCCTCCCCGCGCCACTCCCTCTCCCGGCTTGTAAACTTTTCCGGCTTCCGCACTGTAGTCCTAAAACCGCTGGAAGTCCGAGGGCATGGAGGCGGCGTGCTCGCCCCCGACGGCGGGGAAGTTCGTGGTGGTCGGGGGTGGCATCGCGGGTGTCACCTGTGCGGAGCAGGTAAGGGGGGCGCGCAGGCGGCTCCGCATCTTCTCCATCCCGGAGGCGGTGGCGCTTGAGGCACCTTCCCCGCCCGCCTTTCCTAGTTATTTTCCAGGTCGCTCTTTAGCCGCTTCCTTTTTCCCCTCTCCTTCTTGCTCCCAGATATTAGAGACTGTGTCGTGGCCCCAGATGATGTCCTTAGTACCTCGCAGGTTTCGCTTCCGCCGCAGGGAGGAGCGATGGCGAGCAAGTTGTTAGGGGAAACGCAAAGCGGACTGAACCCGGCTCTGGTCCTAGTAATGTCAAAGCCGATGGGGAGGAGAGGTGGGGTTACGACTAGTAAGTTCTTGGTCAGAAAATTCAGCCCCCTTTCTTAATTAGCTGATTGAATCCCGCTTCCGCGCGGCTGCCCAAGTCCTTAGTGCATCATAACTGAATGGTAAAGAAACCCTTACGTAAGTTTCCTATACTTTGGACTCCCAAGATAGAAGAGATATCATCTCTAGTAATGTTTTTTAAAACAACCGGCAAGGGCAGTGAGGGTATGCTTTTCTGATTTATAGTGAATAATCAGACCACGTATATACATGTACATGTATTCCAAAAGGGACTGGATTATTCTGTTGGTAAACAGTAAACAGATGTCATATTCTTATGACATCACTGATGTCATAAGAAATTGAAGAGGTTTCTTCCCTTAACTTTTAATCTTTGGATGTGTAGTTTTCGTTTATTCTCTGAGTAAACATCTATAATCCAGGCACTGTACTAAGGGCTGATCAGACTAATACAAACAGAGTATGGTACCTCCTTTTTAGGGACTCACAGCCTAATGAGTCATGTAAATAAATAAATAAGTAAAAGTAAGTAAAAAAATCATTTCATCGATGTGTTCACTGCCTTCGGTGTACCTGTGGAGTTGGTAAGGAGTGGATTAGGGAAAAAGTATCCTTTCTTAAGGGAGTTGTCCTTTTGTCTTAGTACAGGCATACCTCATTTTATTGCCCTTCGATTTATTGTACTTTGAATATATTGCATTGTTTACAAATTGAAGGTTTGCGGCAACCCTCTCTAGCAAGCCTTATTGGCACCATTTTAACAACAGCATTTGTTCACTTCGTGTCTCTGTGTCCTATTTTGATAATTCTCGCAGTATTTCAAACTTTTAAATTATTATTCTATTTGTTAATGGTGATCTGTGCTCAGTGATCTTTGATGTTACTATTGCAAAAAGATTACCGCTCGCTGAAGGTTCAGAGGATGGTTAGCATTTTTTAGCAGTCAAGTATTTTTTAATTAAGGCATTACGTTTTTTAAGAACACATTTTTTTGCACACTTAATATTGGCAACTATAGTGTAAACAACTTTTATTTATTTATTTTTGGCTGCGTTGGGTCTTCGTTGCTGCATGCGGGCTTTCTCTAGTTGCGGTGAGCAGGGGGCTACTCTTTGTTGCAGTGCGTGGTCTTCTCATTGCAGTGGCTTGTCTTTGCTGCGGAGCATGGGCTCTAGGCGCGCGGGCTCAGTAGTTGTGGCTCAGAGGCTCTAGAGCGCAGACTCAGTAGTTCTGTTGCATGCGCTTAGTTGCTCCGTGGCATGTGGGATCTTCCCGGACCAGGCCAACCTGTGTACACTGCATTGGCAGGCGGATTCTTAACCACTGCACCACCAGGGAAGTCCCTAAACATAACTTTTATATGCACTTGGAAACCAGAAGTTTCATGCAACTCGCTTTATCGAGATATTCATTTTATTGCAGTGGTCTGGAACCGAACCCACAATATCTCTGAGTTATGCCTATATAGAGGAATGAGTAAAAAGTTTACCAAGTAGACAAGAAAAGACAGACTTTCCAAAGGGAGGCAACAGTGTAATCTCAGGTGGAAAAGCGAGGCACCATCTGGAAGCAGCAAAGCTTAAAACGTATGGTTTAAGCTTTGCTGCTTGGGGAGGATGACCAGAGATGAAGCCAGAAAACTGGTAGAGACCTGATCATAAAGGGTCTTATAAATCGTGCTAAGAATTTAACAAAGACTTACATAAGTAATCAAATGATTTTGAGCAGTGTAGTAATATGATCAAATGAAAAATTTTGAAAGATGATTAGTTACAATGTGTTTGGAGCAGGGGAAGCTGGTTAATATGATACTGGAAGGCTAACTTCAAGGTGATTTTAGTAGCATAATAGTGGAAACAGAAAGTGGGGAAATAAATTACAGAATATACAGAGGAAAGCAAGATGGAGAGAGTGATAATATTGTCAAAATTTTAGAAGTACTTGGGGAAGGCGCTAAGCTTTTAAATGTTTTATTGAAGCTTTGCTTAATTTCATTCTACTAAAGGCAATTGAAATTATTATTTTATAATAAATAGTAGTTGGTTTAACTGTTAATTAAGAAGATAGTTTCTTCTCATCCTCTGCATGATAATTGTTGAGTTTAGCGTAAATGTATTTTTCATTTTAACAATATGAGAGGGGGACATTACTCACCACTACCCCATAAATATGACCAAGACCTTTAGAGGAAGAACAGTGAGTTTTTAGTTTCCTAAGTTAATAACATTATTAAAATTGCATTATCCCTGCCTCACCCCACCATGCCATATGTACTAACGCTTAGTTATTTATCATATTTTTCCTACTTGTTTTTTTTAATAAGTTGGCAATTCACTTTCCATCAGAAGATATTCTCCTGATCACAGCTTCTCCTGTTATTAAAGCAGTTACAAATTTCAAGCAGGTAAGAACCTTTATATAACTTTCTTAGTATTACTCTTTAAAAACTACAGTCACTCAAATAGCAGTTAGTGTAATTGTAGTATTTTAATTGTTTAAAATGACAAATGTTCTTTTGATACTCATTTTAAAATCATAGCTCAAAGTTTAAAATTGTTCAGATTGAATACCAAAAGCACCTGGAATGGTACTGAATTTCTAGTTTTCTCTTCTTCTCTCCCATCTTTTCTGTCCCACTCAGAATTACTTTTCAAAAAATTTATCTTTTGAGGAAAGATGTTACACACATATACATGTGTATCTTTATGCAAATATACTTGTGTATCTTTATTATAAATGTGTGTGTGTATATATGTTTGTGTGTTTACGAGTCAGAAGAAAAGTGCTTTTGAGCCAGGTTTACACTTGCAGATAATTAATGTTTCAGATGTGTCATAAGCATCTCAGAACAGTTTGTAGTTCGTGAGTTTATTTTACACACTTTATAACATTATAATAGGAGTCTGAGAACATTTGGGTCATAGTATCAAAGAAAAATGGTCTCCAAACATTTCTGATCTTGTACCTCACCTGTTAAAAACTTTTGAGCTCATATTTTAATATTATATTTATAAATTATATACATGTACTATAGTGCTACAATTGTGAATATTATAATGCCTATGTAAAAAATAAATGAATAAAAAGATGAAAAACATAAATTTTTTCTTCCCACGCTGCAATGAAGACTATTAACGTAGTCTTTGATTCATTAGAAGTTTTCCCTTATAATACTCTGATAATAGATTGTATCTTTTTTTCTTTCAGCCTTTTGTCTAAGATTTATTATTTATTCATATAAAGGTTAGAGACTTGATGTTAAAGAAGAAAAGCAACCTTCTCCCTACCCATCTCCCACAAACACACCTTTCCAATCTTGAAGTATGTGTTTTATAAAAGTTCTTTATATATTGTCTCCCAGGGAAGAGATCAATATACAGTTAACCTACCCCATTCTCATATATAAACCCCTAAGATTTACATAAGCCCCTAAGACCAAGGGTAATTTAGTGCCATATGTTGCTCTTTATAACCTGCCTAGAAATATGTAAGATATCTTAGAACCTTTGGTACAGCCAAAAGAACTATGGGATTGGGAGAACCAGAGAACAAATTATGGCTCTTAATTTCTAAAAGAAAAAAGTATATATTCAATTATGGCTAAGAGTACATACATGATAGAGAGATGTATAGCTGAGTCTTCTAATGTCTTTACAGAAGACCTAATTTGGTGTAATGATCCCAGAGTTGTAAGACCTGAGTTTAGTTTTTGCCAATCTTTTTTTTTTTTTTAAGTGTTGTACAATAGAAGGAAAAGAACTTGGGTTCTAGGCCTAACTATTATTTTTATTTTTTTTTTTTCCTTGCGTTATGCGGGCCTCTCACTGTTGTGGCCTCTCCCATTTGCGGAGCACAGGCTCCGGACGCGCAGGCTCAGCGGCCATGGCTCACGGGCCCAGCCGCTCCGCGGCATGTGGGATCCTCCCGAAACGGGGCACGAACCCGCGTCTCCTGCATCGGCAGGCGGACTCTCAAGCACTGCGCCACCAGGGAAGCCCCTAACTATTATTTATTGGCTGTGTAACCTTGGCAAATCTCTGTACCTGAGTTGCATCATTAGGAAAATATCTTCCTTGCTTAACAAGATTGTGAGCTTAAGATGTACTAATCTATGTGAAAGTGAATTAAAATAAATATTGCAAATGTCAGTTATTCTTAGTGTTTCGAAGTCAGAAATTGCATTCTTGTTATCATTTATTGAGTGTCTAGATTATTTACCAACCAGTGTGCTAGGCACCCAGGCTATAGAGATTAAAAGTATAGAACATACGTCAAAAAGTCATTAGTGGTTATCCCTGGGGTAAGGGGAAAGCGAGATTTAAAGAGCGGTAAAGGAGGATTTTAATATTTAATCTTTATTATGTATTGTTTATTTGCTTAGTGTTAAAAAGAGCACATATTCATGACTTGTGAATTTTTAAAGGAGAAAAAGGATTAATAATAATAATAATTCACATTTATGGAGTACTTATTATGCTATGCTTCTGAATGTTTTAAATATATTAATGTATTTAATTCTTAACCCTGTGAAGTAGGTCGTTATATTATCCCCGTGTTACAGGTGAGGTAAATGGGTCACAGTGAGGTTAGGTAAATTTCTGAGGTGCATAAAGTCAGGTTTTGAAACTAGGCACTTTGGCTGTAGGGCCCTCATGGTCAATTTCTCAGAATGATTACTTTCTACTGGGACAACAGATATGCAAGAAATAGTTGTCATACAATATGATCATTATCCTGATAGAGGCAAAAAAACTGAGGTCATATTCCAATACATGCATATTTATTTTTATACATAGAAAACATTGTGAAGGAGTGCCAAAGCCTGCCCTTGCGAATCAAGGAAGGCTTTACATTGGAAGTTGCATTGAAACTGAGACTTGAAGAAGGTTTTACAGTGTTTGTAAGAGAGCGAGTGGAGGTACGCATGTGCCAAGGTCATGAAAACGTGTAGCTGTTAAACATGCCCCAGCAGGGACCAGTTCACTGCTGGCGTGTGGAGTGCGAGTCTGAACCAGTAGGCAGGGGCCAGATGGTGACGGGCTTGTGTGCCATGATGCGAAATTGCACTTTATCTAAATTTAGATATGCCAAACTGCTGGAGCGTTTAGAGCAAGTGAAAAGACTGAGCTGGAGACGGTAATTTAGTCTTCACCATTGTCTCAGTGTCAGCTGAAGCTACAGGCCTGGCTTGCACTTTCCCAGGAAGGACACATGCCGGGAGAAGAAGATGGGCCCAGTGGTGGTGTCCTTGGAACACTAAGCGGAGGTCAGAGAGAAAGGAGAACTGAAAAATGGCCACCCTTCTTCCTAGTCTTAGATCTAAGAGGAAAACTGTGCAAGGGCAGTAACCCTAAAGCCAAGGAAGGCAAAAGTTTCAACTAAGAGGAGTGGTCAGTTGTGTCAGATCCTGTGGAATGGTCAGGAAAGATGGTGGCTCTAAAGTCGCTATTTCTAGTGTAAATCATTGGTGACTTTGAGACAGTTTATACTGGTTGAGAAATTAATGGGAGGAAATTCTAAAGTGACGGTTAGCATACACTTTTCTCTCTTGAAAAATGTGGCTGCAAAGGTAGAAAAGATAGAGTGGCAGCAAAAAGAGGACATAAGGTCTAGCGTTAAGTTGAGTTTTATTCTTTTATGGTGGGAAACACTTGAGCCTGTTCACCTGTTGAGATTAAGAAACCAGTGGGGAAGCCTGAAGATGAAGGAGAGCAAGGAATATATAACAAGGAAGGAGTCCTGAGGAGGTGAGAGGCGACGGGATATGGAGCACAGAGCAATGGATTGACTCTGAAATAGTGGGAATGGGTCAGGGAAGGTGGACACTAGCAAAGAAATGTCTAGATAGTGGGAAAGAAGTAGTTAGAGTTCTTAGTGGTCTCTTCATGCCTAGAAGTAAGGTGATTTACTGAGGATAAAGAGGATAGAGTAAGTTCAGGGAATATTAGAATGGTGAAAGTTTGAAAAAGTCACTCACTGATGGAATGGAATATGTTACTAAGATGTTATTGCTCTTCTCACTATATTGACATTTGCACTGATGGTATAAAAGCAGTGGTGGCTACTTACATTGGTAGCCATTTTGTTCTTCACTGCCACACAGTTAGTGAAAAAATAAAAGCCAGTAAAAGAAAATGTTAGTTTTATTAAATCTTGACTCCTGAGTACACATCTTTTTAATATTCTGTACGATGCAACGCGATGTATGCATAAAGCTCTTCTGCATACAATGAGTACAACGTTGTCTCAAGGAAAAGCAGTTGTGCGATTGCTGAGTTGAAGAACTAGCTACTGTTTTCATGGAACATCAATTTTACCTGAAAGAACAGCTGACAAACTGGCTATTCATGTTTGGAAAATGAATGAAGTGAGCCTGTCACTTTAAGAAAACAACTGATGGTACTTGTTGCCATTATGAACTTAATGAACCAGTATTGTCCAAACGACTGATGTGTTATGTTCCAAGATCCACTCAAAGTGCAGGATATGGTTTCAAATTCTACATTTCATCTATCTTTAAGAAACCATCACTTGTTGAGCTTTAGTGTGGCATCAAGAAGAATGTACAGTTGTCTGAAAGGGCTGCATATCTGTGTGAGACTGAACTCTCTTCATGTATTGACACTTCAACCAAAACAACGTTGCAGTGGTTTAAAGGCAGAAGCAGTTTGAATGCAGCAGCAGATATGCAGCCATCTTCTCTTAAGCCAGATACTAAAGAAATTTGCAAAAATGTCAAACAGGGCTATTCTTCTCACTTAATTTGTTTTGTTTTAGAAAAAAATATTTTTCATTAAAGGTATGTTATATCAGTGTAACATGTTTTTATTGTTGTTACTTTTAAGTGAATTAAGAAATACTTAAAATTTTTTCTCAGTTTTAATTCCTAATGCAGCAAATATTGCTAGGTGTAACTCAAAAAAACAAAAGCTCATCGGGGTCCTCAATCGTTGGTAAGGGTGTGAAGGGGTCTTGAGACTAAAAGGTTTGAGAACTGCTATAGCCGTGCAGTAGCATTTCCATGCAGTGTTTAAGGCCAAATACCAGTCTGAAAGGTGTGTGGTACTTCTGTAGCAGACTGGGTGTAGCCCTAGAGAAAGCAAGTAATTTGGTCTGTGCTTGGGTGTTTTCAGGGTAATTAATGGTTAAGGATAAGAGGGCAAGGAAGGATTTGGGGAAAATCCTTCCCCAAATCCATGGCACATCATTTGAAGTAAATGATCCACAATGGAGTCTTAGTGGGATAGGATGGAAAGTGAGTCCAAGAGGATGCTGATGATTTTGGAGAAGAGGAAAGAAGAGTCCAAAGACTAGATCACAATAAGGTTAGCTAGTAAATGGAAAGAGAGAGCTACAAGGATAAAGAAATAGATAAGCTGTTTGATTACACTATACAGAAGTAAGTAGTGTTAGCCCTAATTTTCCAGGCCAGGAAGCTGAGGCTCAGTGACTTTCTGAGTTGCCCAGGAGTGGTAGGACTAGTATTTGAATTTAGGTCTTAAAATGCAGAGTCTGACCCTCTTTTCACTGTATATAGTGCAGTTGGCAGACTTTCTTGTTTTATGAATATGAAATAAATAGTGTATAAAAAGAAAAAGGTTTTTTTTTTAATTCTTGAAGGGAAAAAAGTTTTTAAGTATACATTTTTATTTCTTTTATCTAATACAGGTTTCTAAAGTGTTGGAAGAATTTGATGTTGAAGAACAGCCAAGTACCATGTTAGAAAATCGCTTTCCCAACATTAAGGTTATAGAATCTGGAGTAAAGCAACTGAACAGCAAAGAACATGTAAGAGGGTTTTTTTCTTAAAGACATTTGCCATTGTTAAATCTTGGTGAGGTTTTGCCTGCCTTCCTTTGACCCCCACCTGTTCCACCACTGCCCAAGTCTCTAGCATATAAATTTCAGTGACATTGATTTCCATTAGTATTAGAAAAACTTACACTTTTTGTGAGGTTATTGGGGTCATATAATTAGCTTAGCCTGGCTATTTTAGGTTTTACCTTTTTAATTAGCATTAACATTTATATAGTCTTCACTGTGTTTTGGGCACTGCATTAAGTATTGGGATACAGTAGCAGTGATAGCAGGAACCTACTCCCGGTAGCTCTCAGTGTCATAGGGAGTACAGCCATGCGTACGTTTAATGTATGTCCATAGAAGAAAACAGCTGTTGAAATATTATCAAAGCTCTGATGGTAGGTATTCAGGAAGACCTCCCAGATTGAGTAATATTTGAGCTATGTTTTAAAGATGGGTGAATTGAGTTCTCCAGGTGGAAAAGGACATTCCAGGAAGAATAGATTACGTTACGGGTTCAGAGACCCAGAGAAAGGAAAGGGGCATGTGGAAGGGTGAGACTGTCAAAGGGGTTAGGGTGTGGATAAGTAAAGGAGATTGGCCGACTAGCCCAGAGAAATAAGTAAGTAAGGTTGTGAAGAGCTTTTTATGTCATCCTAATAAATTGAGTGTATTTTATAATCAGTGGAAAAAAATAGTAAAGAGATTCTAAGTGGAGCCAGGGATGCTAAAATACTCTTTTAGGAAGATGGATCTGACAGCAATGTCAAGGATGAACTGGGATAGAGCAAGTGGCCAGTAGCCAACAACCAAATTAGAAGGTGGTTGTAATAGTCCAAAATGATATAAGGCCCAAACTAAGACAGTCTCAGGAAAGGCAGTACCTCAGTCTCAGATGTCAGGAATTCTCAGTGTCACATGATTAACAGTATCTTCAGATGAGCTTTAGGCAAGATAGGAAGTAGGGTTTGTAGTTGTTTCTCTAAAGCAGCTCACATTTGAGTTTTCCCTTAGGGAAAAAGCATACATGTCACATTTGAAACAAATAACTTGACAGGGAAAAAAAAAGTAAGAAAAAGTACTGAGTTTTTTGAGAAAAATATTACAAATCTGAATCCAAATACCGCCTTTAGTTCCTAATACTTGTGATGGTAGTACTTGTTCCATAAAACACCCACGTCAGTGAATCTGCTCATTGAGGTAGGCTCAAAAGTATACTAATGAGTTGTGAGGGAACTTATATATTAGGGCATTTGAATGAATCAGAGTGCCACACGTTTCATTTGAAAAGTGTCCTGCATAACATACATGTCTGCATTCTGTCATCCATCCTTCGTATTCTTGAGTGAATTAGCAACGATGTGTTGTACCTTTGTCTCTACTTCCAAAAATTTAACAGTAGCCAATGAAAAGTTTTTGTGTTTCTTTTATAGTAGCTAAATGCAAATAATTTTTAAAATTTGGTCAGTGCCTATAACTAACTTCTGTTAGTTAAAATTCTAACCAGATTGTCTAAAGGAAGACTTGTGTAACATTTCTGTGTGATTATACTGTGTTGGTTTATTGGTTTTATGTATTTATTATGTAGCTGAAGAGTTAAAATGGGAAACAAATATTTCAGTGGGTATGTAAATGCTAACTGGCAAGTTTTATAAATCAGATACATGGGACAAAGGTTAACCTCTGAAACCATTCCAGCAAAGTCTGACATCTCTCATAGTAGCACATGCTTATGTGTACCTGCTTTCTAAATGCTTCTACTTTTGTGTATTCATTCAATATTAAGGAACAAAAACAGTGGATCTCTGATATATATTTTTAGATTCATCTAAATTCATTAATTCAAAATTAATATAAATTAACTTTAAAGCCAGTACATGCTAGGATTTAAGGTTAACATGCTTTTCACTTATATGAAAATATAATCCCCAAACAGCATGAAGTTTGCTGGTAAAGTGATTGTTATTTGTACTTAAGAATATAAATAATGGTTTTTAGCACTTCTGATTTTTCGGATTAAGAAGATGTATTGTGACCTATTCTACCATTCACTACTCCCCTGTACCCATAACAGACATTAAGGTCTGATATGATTAGAATCACTAGATCTTCTTACAGTATCTTCTCATTGAGAGCGGAATGTTCATCAAGGAAATGTTCATCAGAATGCTCAATTTGAAATTTTCTAAATGTTTCCTTTCTAATCTAAGGTCAACATACCTTTCCAAACATGAGATTCCCTTGGTTTTATCCAAAATTTTGTGGGAATGTACCTTTTTTTTTCCACGGGAGGACTAATTTTCATCATATTTTTTAAATGGTTCATGGTTCTAAAGTGATTAGGAATCACTGGATTAGAGAATGCATTCTCATGCTTAGTTAGCTTTGTCATTGCTGTAACAAAGTATTGAGTGCCACCAAGAGGCAACCTTAATATATTTTTTGCATTTGTCTTACTGAATGTTTAAAGTGCAGTTGTACCTATGTATAAATGTTCCCCCTCTCCTCTTCGTTGCTCTATGGTTTTACAGTGCATTTTAACTGAAGATGGCAATCAGCATATTTATAAGAAGCTCTGTTTGTGTGCTGGAGCTAAACCAAAGTTGATATGTGAAGGAAATCCTTATGTGTTAGGAATCCGTGATACAGACAGTGCTCAGGTAACATTTTGACATCGGGTCATGGGGAAGAAACATGAAGGTTTCTTAGACTTTTTCTACATTTGAATCAAAGTGTTCCACTTATAATGTCAATTCCTAAACTGTAGCAGCAGAAGAAAGGTTTCATGACTCATAAACCAGAAAGTAGTTATAATGTTTTATTACTGCCAATTTGAGTTTAGTTTTAGTGGATAATTTATCTTGTTTTTTAATTCATGTTCTTTCCATTATGTGATATCCCAGAAATAATGTCTCTGCTGAAGGTTACAACTTACATTGCATACACATTCATTATTTTACTCTGATCAGGAGTATGTGATTTGCATCCTAAATGACGTAATGATCTTTTTCTCAAAAGATAAAGCATGTCCAAAATTTACTTCTTAGCAAAGAAATTAGTATTCAGAAGATCTTTGTCATACAGAATCATGACAGAATCCTAGAACTGAAAAAGACACTTTGTTTGTTGTTCTGCTCAAGAACAGTGATAAACTATCCCAGTAAGGTGAAATTCTATCTTCAGAACCTTGTACAACTTCTTTTGGTAATTTATTTCAGAGTTCATTGACCCTTATTGCCAAAAACCTTCTTGTTTTCTAGTCCCAATACTATTGTCTTACCTCAGGCTCATTGTTGTTGTTCTGTCCCATGAAGTGGTAATTGTACATTTACATGATAAGATTTTATAGTCGGGCTTCCCTGGTGGCGCAGTGGCTGAGAGTCCGCCTGCCGATGCAGGGTACGCGGGTTCGTGCCCCGGTCTGGGAAGATCCCACATGCCGCAGAGCGGCTGGGCCTGTGAGCCATGGCCGCTGAGCCTGCGCGTCCGGAGCCTGTGCTCCGCGAGGCCACGGCAGTGAGAGGCCCGCGTACTGCAAAAAAACAAAAAACAAAAAACCCCACACACAACTAATTTGAATAAGGCACATTCTTCAACATCTATAAGAAACAAATGCAAACACAATCATGGTTACATAAGGAAGAAGGGGGATGCCAAGAATTTTGACATTAATACTGGTAAAGCCCGTTTCTTTTTGTTAGGTAAAAAAAAAAAAAAGCAAATTGCAGTTGTTTGAAAGTTTATGTGCTGTTTCTTTTATGACAGGGATGGCAAACAGATTTAGATCTCCTGTAATCCGCTCAACCAGAAGCAGCTGCCTGGAGCTTTGGGCTGAGAAGGCTGAGCGCAAAAAAAAAAAAAAAAAAGATTTTATAGTCTTGAAAATTGATAGTATTTTCTTCTTAAATAATTAGAAATTTAGACAATACTAGAAGAACTGGATTATGTTCTTGTAAACATTTTAGGTTCATATTATCAAAGATTGAGTTCATGACTGTGTTACAGCGAGGCCCTCTACACATATGAACTCACTGAATTCTCATGATAATCCTGTGTGACAGTCATTACTCCCACTCTACAAAGAGGCAGCTGAGATGGAGAGACTAAGAAATTTAGCTATACTAAAGTAGTTATCATCAGAAGTATAACCTAAACTCATGACATTCATCTCCCTGTCCACTGCTCTTTACAGGTCTTTACCTACTGTGTTCAGTGAAGGACAAAGTAGAATTAACTTCAGGTTTTTTCTTGTAGAATTTAAAGAAGTCAATTCAGTGGTTATGTACTGTACATTTTACAATAAGTTTTGGAGCCCATGAGTAGAAATGGTGACCTGACATAGTAGGAGGTGGAATTTAGCTATTCAAATGTCATCTTGAAGCAATGGGACTATTCTCTACTTTAGAAAGTACCATAAGAATGACTCCTGGTATTTTTTTTTTCTCTCCAAGTTCATTGTGATCTTTTGGGGGGGGGGGGAGGGAGGGATGGGAGGTGGAGGCATCAATTCACTGTCTTATAACGTAATAACATTTTTAAATAAATATTAGACATTATGTGCTTCCTACTCCCAACAGCTTTATCTCTATCATCTTAATACTTATAGAGACCTTGAGATATACTCACCTCTTATTTCCATTTATAGTTGGGGAACCTGCGGTGCAGAGAGGTTAAGCAGTTTGCCCAAGGTCACCTGGTTAGTAACTGCTAGAGCCAGGGACTCTAGATCTGTGCTCTTAACCACTGTGCTGCTGTGCTTCTCGTTCCTGCAAGTTCCAAGTGCTGAGTAACTGCAAGGAAAGTGTCAATTGAGGGACTAGAAGGAAAGGAAGAATCCTGTTTCCAGGGTCTAGATCAATGTCATGTTGGTAATTGATTTGGTCAAATAGTTGGGAAGGTGGTAAACTAAAGACAGAGGCTCTTGCTGCAATTCTGAATGTAGTGACATAAAAGGCAAGGAAAGTCAGGAAGAGGCCTTGCCATAAAGGCAGTTTGGGGTGAAACATGGAGGGATCATTTATTATATTAATTGGGATGGTGTGTCCTGGCAGAGTGGGAAAGTGAGGTTTATTATCAGTGAAGCCTGTTGCTTCAGGCATTACCCACTATTACAAAACACTCTTTTCATTTTCTTTTTGATACAGGAATTTCAGAAACAGCTTACAAAAGCTAAGAGAATAATGATCATAGGAAATGGCGGTATTGCACTTGAATTAGTGTAAGTACCTATATTTGAATATTATGTAAGAATTGCTCTGTGATTCATGTGATTATTAACAGACTAGAAGACATCTTGTTACCCTAAAATCAGATAAATATAATTGTTTTTCATTCATTTTCAAGGGGAAAAATCCACTTTATTTTTTTAGCTTTCATGGAATTCATAGTTGCAAAATTGACCTTATAAAACATAGGAATTTCAGGAATGCTTTAGGTCTCAAAGGGTCTGACACTGATGACTGTCTAGATTTGACCCATACATGTGTTCTTATAAGCACGCACTATACTGAAAAACAATTGAAAACGTGTACACCCTTAGAGGTTTCTGGTGATAGTCCCTGCGACTTTTTATTGCTTATACCCATCCTGCTTCACTCATGTATGGTACCCGTCTGGCCGATGAAACACAAGTGTTTGTGAGTTCTATTTCAGGGTATGTGGTACTCCTAGCTCTTGGTTTTTGGAAGTTGGGGATTGTGAACACCTTAATGTGAAATACTGTCATCTTAAGATGATACTTCAAGTTTGGAAAACATTGAGGACCTGCTGTGGTCTACAGAGCATTGATGCACTTTCTTTGTGATTTTATCTTTCAGCAGATGGCTGACATGGAATAGTCTAGATATTTTTCAGGCTAGAAAGTTGGGTCTGACTACAGAGAGGACAAATTTATATCAGAATAAGCAATCTGCCAAAGCCCTGTCTTTTCTCACTTTCATTCATTCCAACTCTGAGACTAGGTTTTTGCCCCTCCTTTTTAGAGGATGGTGAATCCGAGTGGAAACCTGTAAGAGTTGTTGGATTGCCTGAGTACTAGGTGTGGCAGCAGTCATTATTTTAATTATGAAGTTTGCGGCATTGTATGGGAAAATGCAGAGAAAAAACTAGGGAGTCAAGACCAAACTGGGCCAAGAGGAGGCAGGCATAGATTTATTGTAAGAGGGGCTTCAAATCCTTATGTACACATGACAGATTTTCTCCATCAGTTATCACCAAAAGTATAACTTAATACTATTATTATTATTATTATTATTACTATTATTCACATTGAAAAGCTTTCTTATTCAAAAATGTTCAGAGTCTCACAACATTTAATCCTATTCCTCACTTTCTTTAGGTCGGAGATTAAAGACCACATATTTGGATATAAAACACATAATTTTATATTCAGTAAACTCTGGTAGTTTAAGAAAGCTCCCATATAGTGCTATTCTCTCGGTTTAGGTTTACTGAATGATTAGGCCTTTGTCTTCTCTTGATGAAAAATGACGTATCCAGACTCTTTCTGCTTTTTAATAGCCCCCGTGTCCCACTGTGGCTAATGTTGATTTTCTTCAGTATACTTTTATTTCAGTTATTATCTCTTTTCTTCTTTCCAAATGTAGGTTAATCCTTTCTTTTTCAAACAGACATAGTTTTTCGTAATTTCACAAAATTTAATACTTCTGTTTTTTAAGAGTGGTTTTAAAAATGAAAGCAGTATTTCCCCTATGGGTGATGATACCTTCATGCTTACACATCTTTCTAAGGACCAGTTCATAGGGTAAGAGGATTAGAGGGTGTCTCGTGAGGTATGGCACACCCAGGAGTCACTTGTGGTGACTACTTACAGTAAATATGGCTCGCTGGTCTAGTATCAGTATTTTAAGCTATTCTGATATGTGTTATGTTGCTGTACTACTTTAAAATACAAAAAAAAAAAAGTATTTTAAGCTATTCTGATATGTGTTATGTTGCTGTACTACTTTAAAATACAAAAAAAAAAAGGTAATTACAGAAATTCCTAGTTTATAAAAATTAAAGAAATCATTTCATGGTAAATGTGTGCCTATATGTAAATTAACATATAAAATTTATCACCAAATGTGTGTGTATTCTGCTTTCTGCTCATCAGCAATGCTGTATGACCTGAGCAGTGTTAAGATAAAATGTTCTCCAGATAATATGACATTTAGTAACTATAAATACTCTTTGCTGGCATAGGAGAGGAGGAAAAATAAAGGCCCATTGGAGAAAGCAAGGGACTTCTTTACCATATGCCAGAAAGCATGAACATCAGGTGATCTGAAGTCAGATGTACTAAACCTTCTTTCTTTTATCACCTGCTTATTGATCAGCCTCGAAAAGTCATATAACCTAACTTATATCAGTCTGAGATATAAAGATGGCAGTACTTTTTACCATAAATCAGTGTTAAAAATTAATAATGTTAATACACTCTTATTACCATTGTAATTTCAAATAAAATCCTAGTGTAGTTAGGATGACCATAGATACTGTGTGTCCAGGATTGTCCCAATTCATTTGTACCAAAACAAGTAGTGATTGCAGATAAATTATAATGAACTTCAGGGACCTTGTGGAATGAATATTAAGAAAATTACATTCTCCGTGTCCAAACCTAGAGATAAAACTGCAGGTGCTCAGGAGCTCTGGCTACCTCCTGAACGGTAATGGAAGGTGGCTTCCTTGGCCATTCCTTTCTTCCTCTAGGATCCTTCATTTTTCTGTGAACTGGATCTTTCTTTGGCTAGATGGCTTGGAAATTTCTGAGGTGAAGGGAATTCACTGCAGGGTAATTATTCTGTTATAACAAAGTTAAGATTTTAGCTTCTATCATTTGCTTTTTCTGTGTCCTTCCATAATGTGCTTTGAATACATAAAATATTTGTTAGCAAAGAAGTCAACTGCTCTCAATATTGTAGCTATATAACATCTATAACATCTATCCATTCATTACTGATTACTCTATAACTAGGTAATAAGCAAGACACTTCTCACTCCTGGGAACCCTGGCGGACATTCATATAACTATCCTGTAGAAACTGAACACTTTGAAGTGATATTCATTGTAATGAAATTTTACCTGATATTCAGTACATATATTTGTCACATGTTTTTTCAGTAAACTGGTTAAATTTCTTGTATTATTTATTCTACTTAGCACGTATTATCCTGAAAAAGTGTTACATTCCTCTTTATAATCATTCTTTCTCAGTTTGCCTTAAAATAGTTTATTTACATTTGCCTTAAGAGATAACAGTTATTTGTAGACACAAAGAGTTTTTCTTCCAACTAACTTTCATATTCCTTTAGGTATGAAATTGAAGGCTGTGAAGTAATTTGGGCCATTAAAGATAAAGCTATTGGGAATACTTTCTTCGATGCAGGAGCGGCTGAATTCTTGACTTCAAAGCTCATTGCTGAAAAACCAGAGGCTAAAATTGCACAAAAAAGAACCAGATATACAACTGAAGGTAAATATAGCATCTAGCTCATTCATTCACGGATGAAACTTTATTTTTTTAACCATATAGAAAAAGGCTATAAGAAAATTTAGCAAAAATATTTTATATGAGGATAGGAATATAGATATTTATTTCTCTTTCCTTATGTGATAAGATAAATATATTTATATATGTGTATGATGTATTTTATATGAAAAATATGCATAACTAAAACTGGTAATTTAAAGTAAATTAAGTAAACCAGCCCATCTGCATCTTTGCGGACAGATGCTCCAGTTGGACAATACCTAAGGTAATTTTATTAAAAATGCAGTGAGTTTAAAAACAAATGCAGTTTTTTTGGTTTAAAAGAGCTTTTTTATTTTTTTAAACTTCTGGCTTATAAAATTGAGCAAGAATTTTGTAAGTTTTGGGGTTACTAAAAATTCACAAAATTTTCAAAATTTGATGTCTAATTTTCTTACCTTTCATATTAACCAGTGTATATAACATCCATAAAACACTTTTGAGTGTTTATACACAACACTCGATTGAAAGATTACCCATTTTATAGCTCTACATCACAAAATATTAAAATTATGATTAAAATGATTAATATAGATAAGTTTAGTCCTGCTGTATGAATGTATGTGTGAAAATTATTACATTGCCTAAAAATTCTGAACAAAAACGTAATTCTCTGCCTGGCAGTTTTTATATCATTTGGATTTTGAATTGAGTTTATCCCTGCAGGAAGGAAAAAGGAAGCACAAACCAAAGCTAATGCTGGTAATACAGGCAGTGCCTTGGGACCTGATTGGCATGAAGGGTTGGATCTTAAAGGAACAAAAGAGGTATGTTTTCATATACTGTTTAAACGTATCTAAATGCAATTTTAAATTCTTGAACTGTTTGTTAAAGACTGGTTATAAGCATATAGTCAAAGAATTGCTAGGTCACTTTCCTTAAAATCCACGGTTCTAGGAAAGGGCTTCAGTGCCACTTGGCCCCACTGAACTCTCCAGAGACAGAGATCTCCATACAGAGACGTTAGTGAATACACCTGTCCTATTTTAAATTAATCTTTTCTCAAAGGTCACTTTAGATGTAGTATAATATTTTAAAGATTATTAGATAGATTCTAAATAAAATACACATTTAATATCCTAATTGCATAAGCAGATGACTTGCTTTTACTCATTTTATTTACTAGATATTTTAGTTTTTTAATAGTTGTTAAAAGGCTATAGTATTTAAATATTGCAAGAAACATGCAGTCCTTATTACTGTGTATGATACCTTTTCAGCCTTCAGTAGGCTGGAAGGGCACTGGCTTCACAGTGTATCTAATTTTTGTGATGGAAATTACACAAAGTAATTTATTCCTGCACCTTCAGGTCCTAAGATTAATGGTATTCTTAACCTGGGAACTTCAGTTTAGTTCAGTGAACATTTATTGAGTATCTCCTACCTAACTGACGTTTTACTGAGATTCTGGAATATAACAGTCTGGGATATATCAACTTTTTTTTTTAGTCTGTAACAGTTGTAATTTAAAAGAAATATACGTGTAATTATCAGGGAAGCTCATAGTAAAAAGTATGCCCTTGGTGCTACCTGCCAATTCAACTACTAGATCTCTTTAAGTACTGACTGAGTTTCTGCTTCTTTCTTTCCAACAGAAATTGAGAGGCATGCTTGTGGGCATTCAGTGTGTTTTCTTTTATACTATAAGAATTATTGTTTCTATATGTTTTTATAAGTGTATTATAAATTTTTTCTTCATCGTCAGTAACCCAGATCATTCTTTCTAGAAGTATTATAGTGACCAGTACTTCTTTTATTTTAGTTTTCTCATAAAATTCACATTGAAACTATGTGTGAAGTAAAGAAAATCTATCTTCAGGAAGAATTTAGAATTTCTGAGAAAAAGTCCTTGACTTTTCCAAGAGACCATCATAATCAGTTAGTTATAGCTGACAAAGGTAAGTGATGAAATAAGAAAAAAATAAACACTTATTTTAAAAGAAGACAACTTAATCTTGCTTTATTATTATATTTAGAAAACAGCTTCATATTTCCATATAAAACTTAAATGTGAAAAGTAAAAATAAAACTAAAATTGAATAACATAAATCATTTTGTTTTCACTACCTACTGTTTACATTTTCTAATAAATTGTAGAAAGCATAACATCTTACGTAGGGCTCATTATGTTTTGACCATCATAACGTGGTGAGTTAATCAGAATATCTTGTGAATCAAGACAAAACATAAAAACTAAAAAAAATCTGATACTCGCAAAGGTGAAGTGACATCCTCAAAATCAAACAGAATGAAATAAATTTGAAACTAAGGCACAGATCTCTTAAAATTCCTATTCTACACTCCTGTGAGAATTACTCAGAAATACACTCACCCAAACCTACTGTATGGGATATCCCACTGCTCTAAGTTCTTTGAATTTTTTCATAGGAAAAGACAGTGTTAGAGTTTGAATGTGAATAATAAGGGAAAACATTGAAAAGTGAGTAACCTAGTTGGACTAAACTCTCAATGGAGTATAATCTATTAATAAAGATGAAATAATTTATAAAGTTTTATCAATTTAAATTTACTTTGTTAGAATTTCTGTGTCTAAATTTGAAGGAAAAATGTTTAGAATGCCTGCCATGGTTTTGCGATTATACCCAAAATAAGAAGATGGCACTGATGACATTAAAAATTGTTTTAGCAGATGTACCTATAAATATTAAGAGGTGTTGTTTTAAAGTCATCTCCTGCCTTTTTCTTTCTTTCTTTCTTCTAGTCATTGTATTCACATAATGTTACAGACGGTGGTGATTACACTTGAGAATAATTTTTTTTTTTTTTTATTTTAAGAGATATGGCCTGTATATGTGGAATTGACCAATGAAAAGATATATGGCTGCGATTTCATTGTCAGTGCTACAGGAGTTACACCAAATACAGAACCTTTTCTCTGTGGCAACAAGGTAAGGTGAAAATTTTTGTCCCACTGTGAACACTTTTAAAGTATTATTTATGAAGACCTCTAATCCTCAAGCATGCATAATTATAATTGTTCATTGTTTTGGCACAGAACTGTAATTTTAAGATGACTGAAAACAGTTTAGTTTATATTCATGTCTTGATTTGCAATTTTTTTTTTTTACTGCTTCAAGTCCTTAAGCAGTTAACATCCCAGCCTAAGTGTCATTATTAAGGGGACATAATGCACAATTTATCTAAATGTTGGTAAGAAACTGATACCTCCTATCAATTCTTAAAAGTGATTCTTTTAGAGAAGCCAGCTTGTATTTTTTGCTTTTTAGCATCTGAAGTTTACAAAAACTAAGGAATATTTTTGTAACTATGGGTGGGGTCATCATATGGTTATTGGCAATTTTTGATGTTCTAAGAATTTTAAGAATTTGAAGTTCTAAGAATTTCATGGGTTCGTCTTAGTAGGAATTTGAGTGCCTGGAAATTCGGCTTAATTGTCTAAACTCTGTGGTTTAGCCAACTTTTCTCATTAAAGATCAGCAGCATATCAACGTGTAGAATTTGACTTGTTCTTTTACTTTAGGATGAAAAAGTCACGTTTCCTTTTTCTTACCCCATATTCTTATGAGGAACATTGTTTAGTTTGATGTAGGAAAAGACGGTGGCCTGAAGGTGGATGATCACATGCACACGTCCCTTCCTGACATCTATGCTGCAGGTGACATCTGCACAGCCTCCTGGCAGCCCAGCCCAGTCTGGCAGCAGGTAAGCTGGCATAGGTGGTCACAGGTTTTTATCAGAGATTCCATCTGAAAATAAAGGAACTGCTACCAGCATATCCAGCCTTCTGGTTTTCCAACTTTTCTACTTTAAGTGGGAAGCTATCATAGAGTTTTTTTGTCACAAAAACACCAACCAAAGGAACACTAGAATTTTTCCCTTTTGGTAAGTGATTATATAATGATGGAATAGACTGGGATGTCTTTTAATTTAAAAAGAATTATGATGGTTACTTTGTTTTTCATGCTCAGATGCTTATCAGCGGTGTCAAGTGGAACTTTCTGTGATGACAGAAATGCTCTATATTTCGGCAGTGTCCAGTCAGGTAGCCACTAGCGATGTGTGTACTAAGCATTTGAAATGTGGCTAATGTGACTGAGGAACTGAATTTTAATTTTACTTTTAATTAAATAGTCATGTGGCTAGTGACTATGATTTGGGACAGCACAGCTTTGGACGAAAAAGTAGCAAACTGAGATTATAAACCATACATTCTGTTTCTGATGATATTATTCCCATGGGAATTATTACTGAAAGAATGTTCCCATAGTAAGCAGAATTCCTCAGCCTAACAACCCCTTCTAACTGGATCTAGACTTCCTCCTGCCCCGACAGTGTTGCCTGCCTTGTAATGGTGGAGCAGAAGTACTGGAGGAAGATACTCAGCGGCCAGAGGTGGGGTTGTTTTAGCAGGAGTAGAGACAGAGGTAGATGTTAACAGATGAAAGAATCAGTCAACACTTATCTTGGTGAAAGACCAGCTCCATAGGTAGGGATATTTATTCAGATTAACTGTGGAGTGTGAAGTAGTGGAAGAACCAGATGTATCCTAAGAAGCAGCTTTATTATTTAGTTTTTTTTGTTTGTTTGGTTTTTTTTGCGGTACGCGGGCCTCTCACTGTTGTGGCCTCTCCCGCTGCGGAGCACAGGCTCCGGACGTGCAGGCTCAGTGGCCATGGCTCACGGGCCCAGCCGCTCCGCGGCATGTGGGATCTTCCCGGACCGGGGCATGAACCCGTGTCCCTTGCATCGGCAGGCGGACTCTCAACCACTGCGCCACCAGGGAAGCCCTTAGTATGTTTTAACATACATCAGAGATAGCATCAACAAGAGAGTGATTTCAGCCATAATTCTAAAATGCTTCAAACTAGCTTGTTTTTTAGTTTTCTCTACAATGACATCCAATGTTGTTTTTATGGCATATCTGTCCCAAACTCAATTCGGAATTGGAGTTCATGGGATTTTTTTTTTTAACATCTCAGCCCTCTAAGGGTTGAATCTAGGGAATATGTATATTATTATATGCTTCACGTGCCTCATACTCTGATACAAGAAAGTCCAAAAATAAACAGGAGTTTCTTACTTTGAGTGAATCTAATAAAACTTCATCTCTTAATTTGCAGAAGCAGTAAGTACACTAATTCATTTGTTTTATATAGTCCGAGACACAAACTAAAGGGACTCGGAGGCTAGAATACATTAGGTAATAGTGCAGCAGGGTAATATTGCAGGCCACTTCTGTTGGCCGTTCTCTAGTTGTTACTGTGCTCAGTTTACTCTGCTCCCTTACCGTAAGCTGCCTCTTACTTCATCAGACCCAACCTTGTTTAGAGAGGAGACTGAATTTTTTTTAAAAAAATCTATCACTTCTACCAGAAATGCTTAAAGCTCATATCCATGAGTATGGTTATTATTTTTTGCACACAAAAAGACATTAGTTACCACACATGAGGTATAAGAATGATCAAACACCAGAATCAGTTGGTTAGTGTGGATTGCTGATTGCTTCTGTGGCAAAGATGATTCAATCAATTACCTAACTAGCTAGATCTAACTGTTCTCAAGGACTGTCAAGCACTGAACCCCTTTAAAGAATTTTACTAGGTTAAGGTGATAACATTTTTCAAATAATGATAATAAAAAGTTAAATTGCATAACCTTTTTTTAAATTTCAGATGAGGCTGTGGACCCAGGCTAGACAGATGGGATGGTATGCAGCAAAGTGCATGGCCGCAGCTAGTGTAGGCGAGTCTACTGACATGGATTTCAGCTTTGAACTTTTCGCTCATGTAACAAAATTTTTTAACTACAAGGTAAGATAGATAAGCAGATTAGTGCCTTTTCTGCTTGTTAGGTTTTTTGTTTTTTTTTTTTTTTTTTTTGCGGTACGTGGGTCTCTCACTGTTGCGGCCTCTCCCGTTGCGGAGCACAGGCTCCGGACGCGCAGGCTCAGCAGCCATGGCTCACGAGCCCAGCCGCTCCGTGGCATGTGGGATCCTCCCGGACCAGGGCACGATCCCGTGTCCCCTGCATTGGCAGGCAGACTCTCAACCACTGCGCCACCAGGGAAGCCCCTGATTGTTAGTTTTATAACTAATTATGGACATCTGATTTTCGCACATGAATAAACTTAGATGACTTTAATCACTTTACAAAAAATGACAGATTTCCTCATTTCTTGCCAATCTATACCTAGTTATTATTGCTGGGCTTAATCACTGATCATCTGATAATCATTACCTACCTTCTCACTATATTATTTTATAGTTCAGGGGGTTGGGGGGGCAATCTCATCCAGATTTGCTCCCTGTTGGTGCATTTCTGAGTTTTAGTTGCAATTCACTCCTCCTCTGTGAAGAGAACTAACAGCTGTTCATACTCAAGAATGAGCAGGTACTTCCCCCTACATATTATCTTATTGAATCCTCTTTACATCACTCTGAGGCAGGATTTTTCCTCCTAATTTTCCGATAAGGAGAAACACATACAAATATATACATACGGTTCAGGGAGACTAAACAATTTGCCTGTGAAAGATCGAATTCAGCTTCTTACTAAATCTTTAAATTGTGACTCAAGGCTAATGTAGTCTACATCCTACATATTTGTATATTCGGTAGGTATTTTTAATGTTCACACAGGTTGTATGGTAGTGTCATCTGTAGAGTAAATGCATGCCATGCAAGTGTTTTCTTTGGGCTCCTCCGAATGGCACTTCTAGCTGTAAATTTTCGTGACTAGATTTGCCATTCTAGGAAAACACAAAATAACTGCATATTATGTTTCTTTTTCATAGTCACTAAAATAACTGTTTTGTCTTTCTCTATATAGGTTGTATTGCTGGGAAAATACAATGCACAGGGCTTAGGTTTAGATCATGAATTAATACTGAGGTGTACCAAAGGACAAGAGTACATCAAAGCCATCCTGCAGAATGGGCGAATGATGGGAGCGGTCTTAATTGGTGAAACTGATTTAGAAGAAACATTTGAAAACTTAATTTTAAACCAGATGAATCTTTCAGCATATGGAGAAGATCTACTAGATCCAAATATTGATATAGAAGATTATTTTGACTAAAAAGGGCATTTCAAGGGCTACATCGAGTTCCAAGTAAGACAAAAACGTCACATGCCAATAAAGTAAATTGACTGACTGCACTCATTTAAAGATGACCATCTGAAGTTAAAAATACAGAAATACGAAGATTTTAAAAATAAATAAAATTCTAAAGATGAAATCAGTTCAAATCATTTATTTACAGATATATTTTTTTCCTAACACAGAACTGACCACTTAAGTATTCATTTCTGTGTTTTTAAACTTAGACACATTCATTTGTGATTTAGATTTGGAGCAAATTTAACTATGTTGTTATCTACTTAGTCAACAGTGTGGTCTGGTTAATATACCAGAGCCATTCTCTGTGAAATGTCAAAGTAGGGCTGTGGTTTCAAGCAGCTTACAGTTTTATTTTACTTGAATAGAGGTACAGCATACTTGCTAATATTATTTGTATGGATACCTTATTCCTTTTTTATTTAGTAAAATATTCAGTATAATTGTTATCAAAAGACAGTTGTGTCAAAAGAAAAAAATACAACTAGTTATGGCAAGGCATAAAGAGCTTAAGATAGTTATATGAACTTATTCTCTTAAGTATTTTACATTTAAAGGGTTTTACATTAAAATGATTTATTTTTCCCTTGTTTCATACTGTAAATTTATACAGTTCATGATCTCAAAATTTCAAAAGGTCTCAAATTCTCAAGTCTTCAATACTTAAATAAATTCTGAAAATATAGCTCCATATGAATAAAGTATTAATGAAATTGTCTTAAAATTAAACTTTTGATTAACTACAAAACTAATGGTGTATATACATGCATAAACTTTTTCTTAGAAGATTTAGAAGCACTCAACTCATGCATTATCAATTTTTCTTTTCTTAGCCCCTGTAATCTTACAATCAGGTTGCTGAAGCATGTTCACCGACTTCTTCTGGAAGTTACTTGTTTTTGCTTCCCTCTTTTTATCAGCTCCTTCAGAATGACAACTTTGAGGTGATTCAGCCTACAAAACAACAGCAAGACAAACGCTGGTAAAAATTCAGCTATTCCATTTTCTCAGGAGATTAATAATCTCAATAGTCCTTCTATATCACCTCTTTAATTAAGTGTCCAGTGGTCTTGTTTTTTATCTTCAAATTTCTTCCAGTATGCGCCCCATCTTAAATAGAAGGGGCTGTGCTGTCAAGACCGTAAAGAACACCTGACATGTCCTTAGACACGCTGGTGCCTGGTGTGCTTTTGCAGGCTTGAGAGCAGTTAGTTTGTGACAGTGCTTTCCAACCTCTGCTGTGCAGGCAGACTTCTCAGCCAGTAGTGACCACAAGCAAGGGCAGGGTGCCTCATAACATCAGACATACATGGAGTCTTCACATCCCAAAAGGTTGGAAACCCCTAGTCTATATTCTTCTACTCAATACCTCTACAGAACACAAAAGTAGGTTTTCTCTCTTCTATACCCAGATTCCAGGAAGAAAACTGACTTAATCTCTTCTTATGCTCCACTGGACCCAAGAGAGTACTAGTTAAAGAAAAGCATCTCATAGGCTTTAATGTCTTTTTCAAATATATAAAAATTAAAAATTAATAACTACCCTGAAACAGCTCTGCATGGGCTTCTTTACTTGCATGATAATAACATGTTCCTCATTGTTCAGAAGATTAGCTTTAGGTCCTATTTTCAGATATGAGATGGTAGCATAAGCTGTAAAACTGTAGTCTTCTCTGCAGAAGATAAAGGCCAACAATCAGGTTTTGACAAACTGCAGACAACAAACTGAAATTTATTTAAAAAAAATAAGTGCAATAATTTTAAGTAACATTGATATGAAATATAAAACTTTTAGTATAAAAATGCAGTTTATCTTTATAGAAAGTATTCTAGTTTTGTGCTTTTTTGACATACAGTAATCAAAGTTTGAATTTGCATAGCGTTTAAAAGTTCTTATGAAACAACCACAAAACCATTTGTTCTGCTGCAGTTATAAAATGAGAATCATAAAGACAACATGAAAGGGCAAGAAATGGGTTTGTATATACTTGAGATACTGCCGTATAAGAAAGTGCGCAATAATTTTCTCCAGGTCTTCACGAGGAAGCGCGGGAGGAGCAACACCTGCTACTCTCAATTTCGCTGCACCCTTTCCCATCCAAGAGTCGATCAGTTTCAGTGGAGTGAGCTTTTCTTTCAGTTCCTCTGCCTGCTTCAGTATCTTGATTAGATCCCTGCAGTACGCTGTTACATTCTTTCTTTCAAATGCTGTAATGAAAGAGGCATGGTTACAGGTGAATGGGATTTCAAAATTAGGGCAAGGATAGGCCGTCCTAAGTGGTTAGACTGGTTTAAAAAATAAGTCTTCACCCAGTGTGAGCCACCCTAAACACTGATTTGTTTCTATGTTCTGAACTAAGACTACCGCTCAAGTCTCTTATCACTAGATTAAGCTATAGTCTCTGTAAGACACTGTGAGATTTAAGTGATGTAAAGAAAATAATCTGGTGATCAGAAGGCCTTTGGGTATTGCTCTAGGAACCAAAGAGTGTCAGCCAAACAGGATTATGACCAATACTTAGCGGTGTTCACAGGCGAGTCAGAGTCAGTCTGTTCTTCATGTTACCTGAGGCATGCTCATTAAGCAATATTCTGACAACCGGTATGGCTTCCTAGGGACTCTAATTTCATGACAAGAATGTCGTGGACAGTTATTCCCAATTACTGATACCGATGATACCGATGTATGTATCAGGCTTTTGTTAATTTGGGCAGTATAAAATAATCTAATAAACACAAATAATTTTCTCTAGCTGCAAAGTTAAAATTGTGACCTTCACTGACCAAGGCATCAGAACTCAATGAGGAACGGGTTAGTCCAGCTCTTCCAATAATACACATACACACAGGATTTTAAAAAGGGAAAAGACAGCACCAACACACTGCTAAATTAGTGTCTTATGAGTGGTTAGCCATTATCTGGATCAAAAATGATACGCTATAGTCTCTATTTTACACTATATTTCTCTTTCCAATCAGTAACTATAAAGCATTAGAGATTATCACAAGAGGTTAGCATTCTCTTACTTAAAATAGTATTTCTATTCAGAAGGTTTTTAAACTTTTCCCTTCATTTCTTAAAAATTTAACATGTCCTCAGTGTAGCAACATAAAATAAGTGCATACACATATGGCTTTTAATTTTGCCTCTGTTTCAAAACTTTGTGTTGTCACTCTTGAATCTGGGAAATTCGATTCACACCTTGCTTATTCTTTTAAATCCATTTTGGGTGTCTAATATTGCCCTCATGTATTCCTACATATAAATATTAGCCTATAAGGATTTAAAAAACAACTCACAAATCTCTTTACAGCAATTATCACACATTTTGTTGCATGTTTCTGGGCTCCATACTTCATCAAAATGTTGAGCTATCAACACACGGCGACAGCTGCAAACACATCAGAGATACAAATTATCAAATAATTAACAGAGTTTTAAGAATCCCTATTTTAAAATACAGAGTTATATACTGTATTAATTTCCTATTGCTGCCATAACATTACCACAAACTTGGTGGCTTAAAACAACACAAATTTATTATCTTACATTTTTGTAGGTTAGAAGGTTGACATGGGTCTCACTGGATTAAAATCAGGGTGTCAGCAGGGTTGGATTTCTGCTGGAGGCACTTGGGGAGAATCTGTTTCCTTGCCCTTTCCAGACTCTAAAGACTGCCTGCATTCCTGGGCTCATGGCCCCCTTTCCTCTATCTTCAAAGCCAACAACAGTGGGTTAAGTCTTCACATCACTCTGACATCTTATGCCTCCTTCCACATTTAAGAACCCTTGGGATTATAGTGGGTCCACCTAAATAATTCAGGATTATCTCCCTATTTTAAGATCAGCTGACTGCAACCTTAATTCCGTTTTGCCATGTAAAGTAGCACACTCACAGGTTCCAGGGATTCAGATGTGGACATCTTTGGGTGACCATTATTCTGCCCACCACGTATAATAATTTTTTCCATATGTTGTCAATAGACATTGCTTTTAAAAAATTGTCTGAGATTCAGTATTTCACAGCTACAGGCATACCTTGTTTTACTGCAATTTGCTTTACTGTGCTCTGCAGATACTGTGTTTTTTACAAACTGAAGGTTTGTGGCAACCCTGCATTGAGCAAGTCCATTGGCACCATTTTTCTAACAGCATTTGCTCACTTCATGTCTCTGTGTCACAATTTCATAATACTCGCAATGTTTCAAATTTTTCCAATATTATTCTATTGTTATGGTGAGCTGTGATCAGTAGAGTCTGAACTACTGCAATTTGCTGAAGGCACAGAGGAAGGTTGGCATTTATTAGTAATAATTTTTAAATTAAGGTATGTACCTTATTTTTATAGACATAATCCTATTGCACACTTAACAGACTACAGTATAGTGTAAAAATAACATATATGTACTGGGAAACCAAAAGATTCATGGGACTTGCTTTACTGCAATATTCAGTTTATTGCAGTCATCTCAAACTGAAACTGCAATATCTCCAAGGTATGCCTGTATTAAGAGACTCTTCCTGATAGCAGTTTCTTATATTTTACAGTATCAGTTTGAGTCTAAACCCCAAAATATGCTTCACGGGGGCTACTGGATATTGGATATTTTAAGGACATTTTCGTTTTCTCATTTTTTAAACTATATTATTGTGGCGTCCATAGGAAAGAAATGCCATTTTCTATCACAGTCTAATTGCTGCTTATTTCAAAAATTTTGAGTCATTTTTATATGATAGGCTTATATGATAGGCAATAAGACTACAAAGATGACTGAGACTAAAAATACTAATTGTGGGGGAGAGGAGTACAAATGCAGGATTGTTAAAATGCATTTGAAATTAAGAGACCAGCAACTTAAAACAATCATGTATATATAGAGAAATTGCCATATATAAACCTCATGGTAACCACAAACCAAAAATCTATTATAGATAAACACACAATAAAGAAAAAGGAATTCAAACATAATACTAAAGATAGTCATCAAATCACAAGAGAGCAAAAGAAGGAACAAAAAAGACCTACAAATGGACTAAATGTTCCAATCAAAAGACACAGAGTGCCTGAATGGATACAAAATCAAGACCTGCATATATATGCTACCCACAAGAGATTCACCTCAGCTCTAAAGATACCCATAGAATGAAAGTGTCTTATATACTCATATAAGACAAAACAGACTTTAAAAGGAAGACTGTTATAAGACTCAAGAAGGACATTACATAATGATCAAGGAGTCAATCCAGGAAGATATAACAACTGTTAATATATATATACACCCAATGTAGGACCACCTAAATACATAAAGCAAATATTAACAGACAAAAAGGGAGAAACTGACAGTGACACAGTAATAGTAAGGGACTGTAATACCCCACTTACATCAATGGACAGATGATCCAGACAAAATCAATAAGGAAATG